AATGGATGGAAAGGCTTTGGGGGCGAAACACAGGGAAAGGTCATATGGTCTAATTCTAATGTCACAATGGAAAATGCAGACCAAATTCATATTAAACTGAGAAATTTGGGGTTGTCATCATCCTGCCATTAGACTAGCATTTCTTTTTAAGTCAGATTTAGAACATATTCCTGGTTGCGATAATGGGATCGTTTTTAATGACATTTATCGTATTTCAGAAACAGCAGTAGAGAATTTTCTGCTATTGGTTGTTAGTGACTGGCAAAGTCAGACTCCTCCTTTGATACTCAAAGCTTGTTCAGCCTCTTGATCTCATTTAACTGGCCGTAATGACGAGGCAGATAAGCCTAGTGAAAATAAACATTTAAAGGAAGACGTTAAGGATAACAGTGTTATTGCTGTGGCTAAAAGAGAACACCTTTGCCTATCAAAGTGGATGTTGATGCACAGAATAATCCAAAAGATATAATTCCTACAAGATTTTTGTTTCTTCAAGTTTCAAGCACTTGGGTTGCTGGGCAAGTCTTCTGCCAGGAGGCACCTGGGCACCTATTTCCAAACGAACCTTGAGTCCAAAGCACCAAGAGGAAGACAGGAGCAACTGGGCTGCCAGAGTCAGCTCAGTTTTGGAGCACGTTGCTCCTCTCCTGCTTGTGGGTTTGGGATGACGGAACTGTGCGATGCTGAGCAGGTCAAGGTAGGCTTGCTTGGTCTGTTGTGTGCTGCTGATTTACCTGCTTCTCCTTCTCTTCCTAATACTTCAGTAGAGAACGCCTGACCCTTGGCTATCTATTTTCAAAATTGGAAAATTCATATTCATACATTAAGGAGTGAAATGAATATACGAAGCGGTAGAGTTGTCAGACCATAAAAGTAGGTGTGCTGTTGGCTGGCTGTACACATGGGTAAGTGGGGAGTGCAGACAGAAGTCAAGTGACTCAGATGGTTGGATTTTACTGATCCCTGGCATAACCTATTCCCGTTTCCTCAGCGTGCCTTTCAGGAAAGGGAGATAAATCACGTCAGCATCAGAAATACCCTAAAAATATTGCCCTTGGAAGGACTTATTAGGACATTCAAAATTTCAGAGGCACAGAAAGGATGTATTTGGCTTAAAGAAAAGGGAAGTTTAAAGGCCCAGGTTGTCCAGGGAACTCCAAAGCAAATTACTTCATGCCTGTAATACAGGGCAGGGAGCCACTTTCTTGCAGAAAAAAAAGTGCCACCTAGAAAGTGGGCTGTAAGTTCCAGTTGTGTGTTAGAAGTGCATAATACTGCTCTTGTTTAACCTGACTCTTTTCATATTCAAAGAAGTTTGATTAATTTTGTTTCCTTGCTGGTGAAGAGTGAAACTATGGAGATGATTATTAAGCATTAATTCATCAAAAGATTAGAAGCTCCTTTTAACCGACATCCTCACTGTCTCACTGCCCAGTCATTAAGTAGTATTATATTCAACTTCATTAAAGGCAGTCATTCCCCACTGGCTGTTGGTAGCATCCCTAAAGCATCCGAGCTATTACATTTTTTGAACATGTAGAATTTACCCATCTGTATAAAAGTCACAGAGTTTGGATACTATGCTTTTTCCCAGGTCATATATTTAAACTTTTTCTTTTTCGGGGGCAGGTAGAAAAATACTTTGAAATGCTTGTTTTTGCACTGAATGTGCTTGCAGAGTTGGTAACGACTCATGAATCTGGCAAGGCAGCTAGTACGTATTTGTCATGGTTTTTAATAGGAAAAGTCAAAGAAGTCACACCTAATCGATAACTGGCCTAATGCCATTGTTTGGACTGCAGTAGGTTATTGTATAGGAGAGACGTTCCATATCCTGTAGCTGTATGATAGGGCAATAAATTCATAAAGCTTTGAATACTGTTAGAATTATACGGATGCAGGATAATATTTCCTGGTTTTATTCCTCGTGACTAAAACCTTACAGGATTGTCTTTAGAAAAATGTACCTTCATGATATTCTCCTTTGCATACAGCAAATATCTGCAGCAATATTAATGTTGTATTCATAAAGGCAAAGATAGCTTCTGAGAGCCAAGAGACTTTTAAGTTTGAAGGGATGGAGGGGAAGGAAAAGAAATCAACATCTGGAGGTTTGTGGCACCAGTAACTTTTCGTCTCCTCTGGACTAACCAATGGATAGGAGAGAATTTTTTTTTTTTAATTTATTTTCAAGAGTATCTGTTGTAAATGCATTTTTCTCCACAGAATTTAGAAGCTAGTACCTCTCCTTCTTCTTTCACCTCACTGTTGCATGCAAGACTTTGGGCATCGTTGCTTTTGGCACCTTTCTAGAATTAAACATTCCTGCACGTTGCATATAATAAAAATAAGATATAAAGCTTTCACTCTGTGATTACACAAACCTGTTTCAAAATACAACAATCTATCTTGTGTTGTTCTGGCATGTAAGAAACTTGGCCTGTTGGTATAGTGGGTAAAAGTCGCCGTCTATGTCTGCTTTTTTACGGGGTCTTGGTTAGAAAAACTCACAATCTAGTTGTCAAAGATGCCAGAGGCTTCCATTGACTTATGTAAGATTTATGAGTACTTAAAGCCAATGAAAATCCAACCGTTAGTTTTCAGTTTGATGCAATTCCAGAATTATTCTCTGCATAGAGGCTTTCCATTGATTTCAGCATGGTTAACTCTTGCACGTAATACGTTTCATTTCACGGTGAATATGGAGAACGGTCTATTTCAACTGTAGCTGATCTTTTTTATCAAAGGACTAGTTACATGCCAGAAATCTGACAGCAAAGCCAAAAGCTGCATTTTCCAGTACGCGTATGCTGGGTGTTCATACAGAAACATGTTTCGTGTGCAGACAGGTATCTGCAATAAACCAACTAGAGTACGTACATTAGATGCTTTTGCAGAATGCTGTTTGCGTGTTTGTATAACAATATGGTCTTAAGGTCTACTTAAGGTAGACCTTAAGGTCTACTTTTCTTTCCTTTTTTATTTTAGTAGCTTAAGGAAGAAAATATTCTTCCACAATAAAATATTTATAAACTATGTCAAACACGAGTTAGAATGGAAGACCTAAGGCGAATTCCACACGCACTACAGTGCAACTGCTCCTCTTGATTTTTAATGTCTCTGTTTATGAGTTTGGAGAACGGTGTCCCTGCAGACTTGCTGAACGGAGGATACTCTTGTGTCTGACTTGAGTGGCTTAGCAACCTCTTTGTTAGACTCCCCAGAGGTTGACTCCCAGGGAAGGCCCCGTACAGATTTGTACGTCTCACTGAGACGCTAACCAGCAGATTGCGCAAGGCTTATTGACCCTTCACCATCCCGTTTTTATAAATGTCATAATCGAATTTGACTTGGGTGAAGTACGTCTGCTGCCGTAACGCCTCACTGGCAGAGGCATTGCTGGCTGCAGCTAGGAGCATCTGTCCTTCTTGCCGTGGCTGAGGGTGTCTCGCTGCTAGGGAAAAGCTCTGTGCCTTGCAGAGCAAGAGGAGGCTGTCCCGTGTCTCTGGACGTCGCGCTGTGGGCTGCTGTCGATTCCACTAAGAGCGCCGGAAGGATTAAGAAGATACGATCCCGTCAGCCCCTGGCTTGGTGAGGTGTCTTTCGTGCCCAGCGGTGTGCCGGAGACGGCGGCCCTGTGCCTAGAGCTGTTAGCGCTGTTTCAGTCTCGGGCGTGTGAAAATTTTGGGGTGTGTTTAGACGACTGTTGGTGCTGCTCCTGGAGATGTGCCTGGGCTGACGAACGGGTGGTGGTAGCACAGAGCTCACGCCCTGCCAGCGTCTGGAGAGGCGAATGCGGCTTGCCGTTCTGGTTTAAAGGTAGCTTGTGTATATCTGTAGTCAGAAATACTGCTAGAAAGGAAGCTAAACCAAGAGGAGAGTCCTCCTCTTCTGATACTTTGAACTTGTTTGCCTATTACTATCATGAAAAGTCACAAAATATTTTAAAACATTATTGAGGTACTGATGTAGAGCAGCTCACTAAGAAGCGACTAGAGAAGAGAAGGCTGGAGTAAAATCTTAATTTCAGTATGAATATACTAAAATATTTTATTCATAAACTGAACCAGAGTGGTAGATAGTCGGTATAGTTTTTAAAACATTGTTTTGTCGGTTACTGCCACATCCTGAAGTTACATGACGCGATGGCTGCTGCTGCCTGCATTGGTACGGACTTCAGCAAAGATGCTGGATGGCACGGACTGCGTTATTGTCTGGAGCTGGTGATCAACAATATCTCCTCGTCCACCAAGTGTCTGTCATCTCTGTTCACTTTAAGATTCGTTTTTCATGTGTCTAAACTAGAAAGTAAGAAATGTGCTGTCTTAGCAATTTGTGAAGTATCATATATACACCTGGCACTTCTTAATGCCTAAGAATAGTAACTTTAAATGCAGATGCCTCTGGGTCACAGTTGCAGACAGGGTACAATGTAGGAGCCAAAACAAGGTTGATAAAAACTTCTCATTCATGCTGCAACTTTGATTTCTCACAACAGACCTTGGGGATACTCATTTTTCGAGGACCACTGACAAAATCTAGGATGAATTCCCTGTGATTTTTGCAGTTAACTTGTAAAAGGGTTGAGATTTCCATCGTGTCGATTTAGCCCACACAAAATAGTTCAGGATGGTATTAACCGTACATTTTTTTGGACAGGAAGGGATAACTGATGATAGCATTCCCAAGTACTAAATGGCTTACATCTAGGCATCTTTAATGAAAGTTAAGTATTCTTCCTTTGTCACAGTTATGTTCAAATTCAGTTTTTATTGATGAGAGAGAGTGCAAGATGTAATGGAGAAAAATGAGAGGCAAAAAATACCTCTGATCTAACCAAGAATAAAATTTTCCTTGCTTCATATTCCAAGTCACATTCTTAACTTAGAAGTGGGGGAATTGCGATATACATTAAGAACATGCAGAAGATAGGAGCTACAACAATATCTAAAAGTTTTCTTGTTTTACTAATCATGACGTTTTGGTTTGCTCTATGAAAGGTATATGACCGACGGTGGTCTGGGCCTCTATACACGAAGGCTAAACCGGCTGCCTGATGGCATGGCTGCTGTGCGGGAGACGATGCAGCGTAATACTTCGCTGGGACTGGGGGATGCTGACAGGTAAGGTCTCGTCCAGCAAATGCTCGAATATAATGGCACATTTGGTTCAAGCTGTGACTAATGCACATTGGATCTCGAAGATTAAATGGCTTTGTGAATTCAGATACTGAATACAGGGATTGATACTGATTGATTGATACATGATTGATACTGATACCAGAGTATATGAGGTTATACGTTCACAGAGGTGTCAGGATAAATGCTGACTTCTGTGTCTTCTGCTTACTATGCTGAAATCTCAGCTGGGCTTTTGTGCACAGGATGCAACTCTAGAAAATGTAAAGCTTCCATTTTAATAGTGTTTGAAATTAAAAAGACCTTATTCTCCTCTCATTTCCACTGATTCTTCCAAGTCCATAATTGGAAGTGTGAACAGTCAAGGCCAAAGATCAAGAATTAGGGGACTAAAAGTCCATAATTTATGGGAGCATTCCCTTCATAAGGGAAGCCAGGGAGATGGACGGTAATGAGACCTGTATTCTGTTAGAGTTGAGATAAATGGGTTAAATACTTTTGCTTTTTACAGCGCCAGCCTGTAGCTGCTTCTTTCCCTTCCAAATGCAAAACCTGATGAGTGTTACTGTCGAGGTAGTGAGCGAACCGTATCCCTTTTCTTCTATGAGGGGCCCCTAAGTATGAAGCATGGATTTTGAGTTACGGGTTTGAACCGATTTCTGAACTAAAAGTTTTTTCTCTTTTTGTTTTGTTATCAGTAAGTCTTTCCTGGGATGTAATGCAGTTGACTGAGTTTGGTATGACTGATACTTTTGTGATAGTGATGCACGGATTGCTAAAGAAATACAAGTGATGGAGAATCTAGCCTTGGTTTCAGAGACAGCCATACTAAATTTGCCTTGGTGTTCTCTTGATGTTGGTAAAGAGCAGGATGGTAAATCTCAACAAAAGAACTAAAAACTCATTTAGAGCCTCTCAGCTCAGTTTCAATTACTAAGTTAACATACGCTTGCCAGTTGTAAAATAAGCCTGGATTTTTCAGGAGCTCATATCTGTTTCTGAAATTTGCAGCTTGAAACCCATACTCAGCCAGCAGCGCTCGCGCCTGGTTGACCGTGGGTGAAGGCATTGCTACCTGGTGGTGCAGCTGAAGGCTAATCAAGTGTCACCCTCATCTGTTGCTGTGGCTTCTGAACATTGGCACAGTACAGAAGCTATCTGTTTACAGTACAGTATTGGTGTAATATAAATTATATTATTGTTTAAGTAACAGTCAGCCTTCTGGAGAGCTAGTGATACATTCCTTGTCATCGATTCCTTCCCCCATCCAATATTTTCTGCACTTGCAACACTTTCTTGGCATGTAAATTATTCTCGTATTTTATTTGCTAAGCTCCTTCCCTGAAGACACCGCACAAGGGCCAATTATGTACGTTCGACATGAGAGATTATTTGCGTGTTTGAATATATTCCACATAGAATGGGGTTGTGACACACTGAAGTGCAATCCCTAGTTCATGTCAGTTGTTTCAGCTTTGAAAAATCATTCTTTCTGTTCATGTGGAGGGGAGACAGACTTTACACACGATAGACTCTGTATGGCTGGCAATTTAGCTGCAGCATGGGATCACAGAAAAACTACCCTCGGTCCCAGAGTTGGTGACATTATTACGTCTTGTTTTGGTTTAGTCTTTTCTGTTAATAATGCAAGCCTACTCACCTCATGCAGGAGATGAGAATTTTCTGACAAAAGGCCGTGATTTAAACACAGCTCCTCTTTGGTTGCTGGCTGATCATGACGTGCACTTTAAACAAAAAATTAATCTCGGTTTGAGCAGCAGTTTTCCAAGGTGAAAACTGGCATAAGGAAAAGGAGTTGAATGAAACGGCGCAGTAATGAATCGCTTTCTCCATTCTGTGAATGGAGGCAGGCAGGAGTTCTGCTTTACTGGTACACCTAGAAAACGTATGAAGATTAAATTTAACTTGTTCAAAGCAGATGTTAATTGAACACGTGGGAGAATGAGTGCGAAGGGCTATGAACCTTTGAATATAAGGTTAATCATTAAAAAGTTATCAGAGGAATTTTTTTAATTTGCTTACTTGTTCAGTTTCTTGTGTTATTAATTGTAGAAGTTTAGTTGTGAAGGTTTTACTCGTTGGCTCTGGTAACATAAAGCACAGACCTTAGAAGGTACGTTTTCCCCTGCAGCAGGGAAATCCAAACAAGGCAATTTAATTTAATGCTTGAGTGCAAGGTTAATGGAATCACTGCACAACACAGCTGAGCTTATTTATTCACTTCAAGACAATTTGTGTTTGTATAGAACAGAGGCATTTTTAAATGAAAAAAGGCATCAAAAATGCCTTTTTATTTAGTTCATGTTTGGTTTTTTTTTTTTTTAGAAGGTTGCAAATTAGCCAGCTATGGTTTTGTCTCTTCTATGTATATGGACTTGGTATGTACCATCTGGTTATTTAAGTTCATTTCACATTGTCAGGCGCAGCTGCTTGATCTGAGACTTAATTCTGCCCTTAGTTTTGTATATGTCACTTGCATTTATGACTACGTAGGGATAAAAGGGAGGCTATTTGAAACTTAGATTTGAGTAATCTTTCTGTAATTGCTTACTTGTATAACCTATTATTTAGATAAGATAATTCAGACCTGTGCTGATTTATCATATCCTTGTGAATAGGTTAGGAGGCTGTATTAATGAATGTGAGCTTGTCAAGAGTAACTTCAATGCTGTCATTAGGGACATAGCTCTATGACTTCTTTAAAAATCCTTAGTGATGAAGTGCATAAATAACTACTTCCGAGCATGCCTGAATTGGATTGTTTCATTGGATTGCGTGAAATACGTGTCTTTGCATAAAAGTATAAGGCCTAAAAGGGTCTTCCCAGTCTTCCAGTGTAAGGACCGGTCTCATCAGACAGCAGATTACGTTCTCTTGGTACTTCCAACAGCTACGGCGTTGGTGGACTGTACGTAAAATGGAGCTGAGGTGTTGAGCATGGGTAGGATTGAGCTGCTCTAAGAGTGTTTCTGTATCAAGGTTCAGATCGATGATGACTACAAGGACAGTCTTGGCCCACTCTTGTCACTCTGCAGTTAAAACAAGATCATACTCAGTTTAAATCTCAGAAGGACTTGTCACTGAAGCTGGCTTCTGGCAGTCAGTAGCATTTCTGTAGCGTGGCCTGCTTTTGGCAAGATTTTTTGGATAATGCCAGAGGAGAATGTGGAACCCGGAGAGGAGACGGACAGGAAGGAAGAACTGGAAGTGAAGCAGAAACTGAGCAGAAATCCAGAGGACACTCCATGCAGAGCACAGATATACCACTATTAATGAGAATGTTGTTGCATACAGATTCTTTCAGATGCACTGATTTATAGATATATATATCACGGCTTTCAAAAATAGCTGAAGAGTAGTATTTCGCTGTTATTTTGCATTTTATAAAAACAGATTAAGGTTATTTACATGTCTCTTGGCTCAGGTAGTAGACAACGCTTCACATTCATTCGCGGAGTAAAATCCTTAGAGTGGGGTATGTTTAAATTCACTAACTGCAATTTAATTTCTTGAATCCTGTTAGAGTGATGAGATTACTAAAAAGGTGGGTTAGTGTTCAGTGCTGGAGGGAGATTGTTGGGCGGCCTTCATAACCATGGGAACTTGGATCACGCTTCAGAAGAGCTGAAAAGCAAGTTGAAGCAAGTCATCGAGTTGGGGGCAATATTGGCCTGTTCTGAAAAGCGGGGAGAGAAGGGGATGTCACTGCTTTTGGAAGTAGCCAAATTCCACTGAAAGCAGAATTAGAGACGTGGTGTTGATGGATATCTCATAAGAAGCTGCATCAAATTTTCTGCTTTTTAGGTGCTACTTTATTGTAGACAATGGAAAAATGTTACAATATAAGAAAAAAGAATAAGGACCTTTTTTTTAAGGTATTCTTTATCTAGTTTTACAGTGGGATAAGACAGCTTTAGGTCCTGAGCATGTATTTTCAGTTTTTCCTCTTAACTGAGACAGCGCAGCTAAAACTAAATGAAGGTGTCTGCAATTCCTGGTTTTGCAGACAAGGAGTTAAGTTTTCCATTCACAGAGAAAATCCGTTAGCAATACTACCCCATTACTACCCATCTTATCATTACTGTAGCTTTGCTACTCTAGCATTGGTAGCACGATGCATTAAAAAAACAGAGAAAATGTGGCTGGAATAGACACCTGTGGACACGTAGGCTGGATAGTCTTTGTCTTAAAATGTTAAAACATGACTGGGTTGTATCTTAAACTTCAGATGGACCCAACTGTTGTAAAAATACATAGAAATAGATATTCCTGCATTATAGTGGCAGTGGAATTCCCATCATCTCCTTCCCCTCCGGCATCTCCTGCTCCTGCAGTGCTCCCTCAGGAGTGTTGACATAAGTGTTTGTGGAGTTTCACAGTAAATGAACTTGCAGGGAGATTCATCTGGTATTTTGTGTGAGGGGGTTTGTGGAGGGAGGATGTCCTTTCTGTCAGGAGAAGGAGTAACCATATCCATTGAAGTCATCTACAGACCTCAGGACATCTCAGCTTAGAAAGTTGCTGCCCAGCTGTTACCGCTCTACCAGGAAGATTTCATGCCGTCAGTTCGCAGTTCCTTCGCTTCCAGAAAGCCCTGGCAATTGTACTTGCATTCAGTTGTTACGGTTAAAATAATTTACAAATTCTACTTTTCCCGTTTTTCCTTTGCTGAGACAGTGGATCACCCCTATATAAGGATCCTATATACTAAACAAGCGTAGTTTTCTGGAAAATAATTTAAAAGTCTCTGAATTGTTTTAAGATAATACAGATGAAAAAGTAAGTTCCAACACCTGAGCATTCATTGCTCACGGTATCCGTGCTGTGAGTCACTGCAGTTTGTAAATAAGTTCACGTATATAGTTGCCTAACAGCAAAGTCACAGCGTTGGTGAAATTATTCATGCCTAAGATCTTCGAGTCTGCTTGACCATCTGTTTGGATTTTATCACTAAGTTAGAAAAAATACTACTGCTTCTAAATAATGCAAGTTGTACCTTGGTACCTATAGATACCTATCTCTCTGTCTTTGAAAGATCCCACATTTATCTCGAAAACTGACTCGCAGAAACAGGGAAATGCACATTGCAAAGATTCTTTTCAAGTCTGTGGCCTTGGGATCTGCTGATTAGAATCACAATACCATATACTTTTATTTTCCAAGGGATCTTTTTACAAGCTGTAATCCAAAATGGTTTTAGGTTACATAAAGTAATTGCAAAGTTAAGCAACAAATAGTAGTTGAAAGCAAAGGTGTAGTAGCTATACCCGAGGGCTGAAATCAGTAGTACCAAAAGGAAGAAAAAAGACGTGCTTTCAAACAAGGCAAGGTTGGTTAAGGGAAGCAACGTCTTTTGGCAGATCAGTGGGCTAAAGATGACAAACTTCTGGTCATCTAAGCTTTTCTTCAGGTCTAAAGCAGATTGCTAAATAGAAGCTGAAGAACAGTTGCTCTAAATTTACCAGGATGTTTTAGTAGTTTAGACTAACTCATAAAGACAGACAATGCCTATGAAGCAGAGGAAGATTTAGCAAGGAAAGGCGTGATACGATATTTGTGTGCTGCAGGAGAGAGAGAGAGATGGATGATTTATCACCTGTGTAACATGGAGGGGTTCACTGGGGAGAGGGAGCAAATTATTACAGGCTGTAAAGGCTGTCTCTTTATTTAATCTATGGGTTTTAATATCCACCAGAGTTATTATTTTAATTATCTGTTTTATTCTTTGAAGATGCTTTATAGAACTCCCTTGAAGATGAGAAGGAAGAGGTCAGAGGTGAACTGGCTGTGTGAGAATTGCCTTCCTTGGGTAACCAGGTTCTTCTCAACTTTGTGGCTGGCATGTGAATTCCTTCCGTGGGCACAGTAATACTTGGTGGTTTTTTTTTTCTTTTTTCCATACATGCTTTTGGGCATACTTATGGTATGCTGCATGAAGTATACTAGATTCTGGGAAGTACTTAAGTAGGATTTGGCGATAGTGTCAATTCTGTTTAGAGAAGTATAATGGAATGGAGATACGCTGGAAAGTTTTGTTTCTCA